CCTCGGCGCCGCCTGTCTCTGGAGTCCGTGGGCCAAGCTTGGGGAGATGCAGCGTGATGGTTTGGAGGGGGCAGAAGGTGGGAGGCAGCTGTGGGGGGTCGGGTGCTGGATTGAAGCAATCCCACAACAGCATGAGCTCCAGCCTGGGGTGGGTGGGGGGGGCTCCCTGTCCCCCCCCCCGAGACACCAGCGCCTGCTCTTGGCCCGGGCTCAGAGGAGTCCCATCCCATCCCGTCGTCCCTGCCCCGCTCCCCCGCCACACTGCACCGGGGGGCACTGGGAGCTCTCAGGCCCCCAGCACTAGCCAACCCAGCTGGTCCCAGCACCTGCACGTGCATCCGGGTCCCCGTATGCCCTGCTGTGCTCCCCACTGCTCCCCAGGGCTTCGCTGCTAACCTAGCCCCAGGCAGTTGCAGACGCTGCCATGTGGCTGTAGGAAAGTTCGGATCTGTGCGTAGTTTTAACATATGCAAAGTCTGTTTGCCTGGTCTGACAGGGCCGGACCCCGCAGCAAGGGGTGGCTGTAGGGGTCCCACCGCCCCCCGGCATCACAGTACTCCCTCACCCCATGCAGCCCCTGCAGCCCAAAGCCTGTCCCCTCCCGCTGGCCCACGCTGCAGCAGGCAGCCCCCGTGTGCAGACAGCAGGGTGCACCGGGGCAGTTCAAACACGTCTTACCTTTGGCAGCAGCTGCAGGGTCGCCCCCTGTCGTTGCCTCCTCCCCCCCAGCAGCTCTCACGCCAGAGAAACTGAGGAGCTTTTAACAAATGTGAATGGTTCCAGGAACCACGCAGGAAGCGGTGCCGAGGGCAGCCAGGGCACCCGCCGGCGCCTGCCCCGGCCCCATGTACATAGTGTACATAATACAGTATGTGTATTTTTAAAGTGATCATATTTATGTTAATAGAACCAGATGAAGTCTATATATAGAGATCTATATCTATTCTGAGAGATGCAGGGCTCTGCTAGCACCAGGCCGCGGGGACGGAGAGCCGAGACGGGCTGCTCCTGCACGAAACGGGCGCCCATCCGTTGCACCAAGTGCTCTGGAGCGGTGGTGAAGGCTACAGCCTTCACCGGCCACCGGTAGCCCCTGGGAAAGGGCCAGGTCGCAGGTTCATTCTCTTCTCAATTTAGCTTCTTAAGAGTTTTCAGGGAAAAGAAGTCACAGACTTTTCTGAACTTGTTTCACAGCAGATTTGAGCTTCCACTCGAAGTGCAGCCTGCTAAGAGTTGCCCTCTCCCAGCAGTGGAGGCTCACCAGCCTGGCCTGAAGCGGCAATGCTTTCTCCCCCGGCCAGAGCTGAGCCCCTGCACTGGAGCACTCACCT